TTACGTACACATTTCAGGTTTCTTTGTTAAAAAAGCGCGTTATACGACGAATATACCATAAAAATAAAAAAATATGGCTCGAAAGTATGGGACCCGGATTTTATACTAAAGCTATACCCCGGATTTTATGGTATGTTGTTTAATAGAATTAATATTTTTTTTTATGAAAAAATAATTGTTATTAGTACAAAACATATTTTACATAGTTATATTTCTACTAAATTTACTGTATTGTTTAGTATGAAGTTAACATTCTTGTGTAGTAAATTTGTTTCTAAGATCAATTTTTTTTTAAGATCGCTGTTTACTACTTATGGAATAAACGAAAGGGAACTCAGTAAAAATCAAATTAGAACCCTTTAATCAGAGGTTCCCAAACATTTTTGTCTCATAGACCCCTTGCCATGTTTTTCGATTTGAAGTTGACCACTGCTTACCTAATATCGAATTTTTACAAATTTATCAATTTTAATGTCTTTTTGATAGCTAGTATAGAGCTACTTACTTTAAAATAATTAAATTTCTAACTGTAGTGTGGAACAGTGTTTAAAACTTAAAAAGCACATGTTAATAAATTAGATTAAAATTTAATTAATGCATAAAATAAATGAACAACAAACAAAGGCTTTTAATGGAAGTCATGAATCTGGTGCTTCAATAACAATTGTTCAACATTCGGTATCAGAGTCTTGTCAGGTTTAACCTTAAATCTCCTCTATTAGTAGTGACCAGTCCCCCCCCATTTTTTTTTTTATGTTTTGGAGATTGGCAAAACAGCGCTGAAACTCCTCACTAAGAAAAGCAATTAGAAAAATTTTCTCACTATATTCCATAATTTGGGACAAATAACAGGTATGTCTCTTTAAAGCCGAAATTGCGTACATCTGTTCCTAAGCTTTTAAGATCGTCGTTAGTGCCTATTCCGATCATTTCATATTATAATATGAAATTTTTATTTTCAATGTAACCATATGAATTGATTGTCCACTGTGGTATTACTTTAGTCAAAGCATTCTAAAATCTAGTTTCAAAATCTGAATAAAGGGTTGAACGTAGATTAAAACGTCCTGACAGATTGTGTGTGACAAATTGAGAAAAAATTCACTACCTCCAATGTTATTCTGCTTTAGCTTAATTTTGGAAAGAAACGCTGCAATGGTCCTTGATTTTATAAATTTATGCTGTCACCTTATAACTGCAAATTAACCATAATAAATTTAGTAAATAAATCTATTAAATAGGTAAAATCTGGTTTCCACTTGATTTAATTTTCTTTTAAATTTAAAGATAGTCTGGTTCAATGAGAACCATTATCATAGGCCCCCATTTACATCTCATGGACCCCCAAATTATTTTTTCGCTTATGTAAACCCCTTGCAAGTAATCATAGACCCCTTTGGGAATCACTGTCTTAAATCTTTACATGGCTTGTGCAAATTGAGAGCTGTGACTTTTGTCAATAACTCCTATGTGGTCGTATCATGAGCTCATGTCCGGCGTTAGATATGTTGATGTTTGTTAGAAAACCTCCCGTTGGCGTGGTGTGGAAGATTGGGGAGGGGGGCGAATCAGGCGTCGTCCTCATCGCTTGACCACAGTTCAAAATTAAGAGGTCTAGCACCATATTATGATCCATTCATAAAAACGCTTACTTACAGCATCACAAAAGGATTTCATTGATAAAAATGGCTTCTGATATAGGATTTCAATTTGCATAACATCCCCCCCACATGACAGGGGTGCAGGATTCTAAAGCAGTGATCCGCAACCCCCGGTCCGTGGATCAAATGGTGCCGGGCCGTCTAAAGAACATTAAACTATTGCCATTTTATTTAAAGTAGTGTATTTCGTTCGGATTTGCACAACTTTCCACGGAAATCACTTTATATTCCACGTTAAATCACTTTTATTCATTTTTGGTGTAACTGTATTTTATTCTGAAGGCATATTTAAATGTAACTGAGTTAAAATTGTTAAATCAAAACAATCTAAAATATAAACAATCAACGTGTTCTACCCTCAGCGGGCCGCGGTAAAATTATCAAACGTTGACCGGTCTGCAGCTATAAAAGGTTGCGGAGCACTGTTCTAAAGGACCCAAAGCCTGTGTTTGTTATGATTTTGCAATTCTTTGTAAGATCTGACTTTGCAGAGGAGGGGCTAATACTCTTCTCTACGCGACTGATCCTCAGTCTTACTTACGACAAAGGATCGAAATTTAACATGAAGCACGCATATCAAGCAAAAACATTAGACATTGGTGAACAGAACGGGGAACCCCTGAAATCAACTGATTTTTAATTTCTGTTAAAAGAGATTACCCCCCTCCTGGTGCTTAGGTCTACGGGTTTTTTACTAAACTTACTATGCTTTGTACACTATAGCCACCTCCTCTTTCTACACTATTAGGACCAGCGGAAGGAGAAAGAAGCGCTTCCCAGGCCCGTACGTTAGGAGAGGATACGCACACACGAGACCGGTCGAATTTCCCTGTTAAGCCTAATTTCCTTTAACAATTCATATAAAGTTTTGAATGCAATCAAATACGCTAAAAATTAACAATTTACTGTCATTGATAATATTTGAAAACGAAGTACAAAATTATTTGCTATATTTAAAAAAAACAATTGCGAATTTTAAGGAAAATGTTTTCATTTTAATAAAAAAAATAGATACACTTTCAAAAAAATTAACAAAAATCCCATACATTTAAAGGCGGATATAGAAAATATTAGAAAACAACCAACTTATATTCAAAATATAAACAGAAATCCATAGAATAAAATAGATCACGAACCTCTAAATGTCCGATTCTCTCAAAAAATAAACACGTGCAATTTATATTCAGAAATATCTTGGATCTAATTAAAAAAAACACACACAGAGCTGAAAGCACATATTGAAGTTCAAAGTTTTATGAAACATTATTCGAAAAAAAAATGCTCTTTAACCGCCCTCTAGTGCTTGTAAAAATTAATATAAAAACGTTCCTAACTCTGATCATACCGGTGTGATCATGGGCCTACAAGGAGGGAAAGCTCAATCACATATATGATACCGTAAGCCGTGGAGGGGGAAACGCGTGATCACATATATGTGATCATGGTCCTGAACGGGATAAGATAGGTTTATGTTCGCCACTGGCCATACAATATTATTCTGTGGAACTGCGTCTGAAATTCATGACCCTTCCATCACTACTACAGGCAGTTGCGTAACGGAGAATATTAGAACCCCCCTGCAAAGTCAGGTTTTGTGTCCCAAGCCAGATCTTACAAAGGGTGCGTACTAGGCGTCAGTCAGACTTTGTGTCCCCTAGAGTCCTGGCTCTTCCGGCATTGCAGGGGTGTACGTTACGCCACTGACTACAGGGCAGCCGCTGCTCTATCTATTCGTGTGTGCGTGTGTGTGAAAATTGTAATTATCAAAGTTCTGTTTTCCATTCAAACTGAGACGACAAAAGTTTAAACATATATCTTATATGAGAGGCATGGTAACTGAGTAGTCACATTCGCGAACTCATGGTCGGTGTTGTTGAGTCGTGGGTTCGAAACCTGATGTCAGTAAAGGCTCAAAATGTATAAGGGCCAGATTACGTTCAAAGTGCTTAGTTTGCCGTTCAAAGTTAAATTTATTTCCTAAAAATTGACGCGGTATGGAACTCTGGAGAGTGAGGTGCCAGCTTACTTATCATTCTCTTTGCTTGAACGAGGCTCAAAATTAAGGGGTCCGCCGTCACTTTATAGCCGTCGTGCAACTTCAAAATGTGATATTGCAATAAAGAATCAAATTTAAATCGACCTTTGCTTGTTGTTGCTAATGCCACTCGATCGGCATGTGCCAGATCGGGGTCCAGAAATTCATCATGGCAAATGGCTAGAGTGTACGCCTGTCGTTAGCCGTAGCCTTGAGCACCATGCAGGTGACATTACGTTTGGGCTCGTTTCCACCTCAATTTTGAGAGAAAACACCCAGGGGGTAGTCAGGAGCCTCCCAACTCTCTTCTCTTTCCACAAACCTCACGTGAGGACTCGCAGCTCGACCGCTATTTAGAATGTCTCCTTGCCGTGAAGGCACTATTACACATTTACAAACATCCATGCCTCTGGGATTCTAACCTAGGTCCTACGGCACAGCAATCAGCGTCGCTAACCACTATACCGGTTGGGCGGCATGACCTTTGCTTAAAACGTAGAAATTAACTTTAAATGGATCTCTGAAATGGAAATCGAAGAGGGATAAAGCACAGGATCGTTTCTCATATCACGTGAATATCTTTCAAAATTAAGCTGACAAATCAACAGTAGGGAGGTGATCATCTAACTTAATTATACATCGATTATAAAACGAATGTGCTCTACTTAGATTCAATTAAAGTAATTGTTATCTACTTGTGTGCTTTACTTAGAGAAAGTCAGATTTACTCTCATTATAAATTTTTTTAAATGATTACTTGATTTTGGAATTTCATTACAGAAACAAGTGTTTAAAATAGTGGCGTAGCGGAGAATATAAGGAACCCTTGCAAAGTCAAGTTTGGGTACCAAGCCGGAACTTACAAAAAAGATTTTAAAACCACACGTACTTGGCGTTAGTCAGGCTGGGCTCCCTAGAATCTAGCCCCCCCTCTTCCTCTCCGCGATGCGGGGGTTTCGGGGATGTACATTACGCCACTGGTTTGAAAACAAATATCAAACAACTACTATCAAACAAGTAATACATCAAAAAAATTTTAGTCAATTTCGTGTAGGTCAACAAAGAAATTTTTTATTTTAGTTACTTTTTATTAAATAATTACAATGAATATAAATATGTGTATACATATGACAGAATCACAATATTCAGCGGCCAAATAGAAAAGGATTTCCCTTGCAATTTTCCATTTTTCTTTTTATATAGGGTGTTGGACTATTTTTTTGTTTTTATTTATTCATTCATTAAATTTAATTATTCTAATAAAATAGTATTGTAAAAAATAATCACATTCTCAGAAATTAGGCCATCCCAGGTAGGATTCAAACCTTTTGATTAAAAGTCCAACGCACTATCCATTGCGCTACAGGGACACAATGAGCGGTTTTCCTTTTTATATAGGGTGTTGGACTATTATTTTTCTTTGTTACTATTTATTTATTAATTAAATAAAATTAATCAATTAATATTTGAAAAACTGTATTAGCATCAAGTGTCATCCACTACAATTTTTAAAAAAATGTGTTAGGACTTGAGTGGATGAATAAAAAGTATTTTATAAACGATTGAAATTTTGAACAAGATTATATATATATATATATAGTGAGAGTGTGCAGTATATAATAGTAGGAATTGAAAAAAGAGTTCTCTCTCTCTTGTCAGTAACAGAGATATCGCTACATCATAAATCTAGAACAACTCATTCAACCGCGAGATATTAAAATGTCTAACCTAAACATGCCGATTTTTTTGGATAAAAATCAGACATGGTGCAATCAAACACCTCGAACTAGAAAAACAAAACAAACATATCAAATAACCTCATCTGCATAGAAGGGGGAAAAAAACATTGTGGTGTGAGGTTGTACCTAGTGCTTCATTCATCATGCGGTTAAGCTCTGACAAGAACCACATGCGATCAGAAATCGCGTATTAATCACCGCCCTTGACTGATTCGGGAGTCATCATCTCCAAGCATCCGCCTGGTTATTTTTTTTTTCTTTCATTGTAGTAATTCACGGGAGATTCCCTTCGATCCCATTGTACCGAGGAAGAAGAAAAATAGTTTATCGGAAGTTGAATTAATTAATCTCCATAGGTTTCGTTTCAGATAGTGGAGCTTCTGAAAGGGGTTGGTAAAGAAAATACATCATAATGATGCTTCAGCATCAACACAGTATCGACATATTTTGTTATAGCTTTTTCTTTTTTTTTTACTTTTTGAGTTGTTATGGGAAGTGTTGATTACCTTGGAGATAATTGAGGAGATTTCTTTTTGTTTGATTTAAGTTATGTTGAGGATGTTTGAGCTCTTGACGGACTTAACGTGCATCGCTCCCCTACACGGCGGATCTTCAGCGGTACTAGGCTGGAACTGATGACACGCCGGCCACGAGTCCGTTACCTTGACCACCAGGCTACCACGGCCACTTCTTGTTGTTCGGATATGATCCTTAATGAAAACAATAGCAGCATGGAGTATCAATCTGAAACATAAAATTTTATCGAAATTTAGACATGTTTATACATACTGTGAGCCACAAAATTGAGTATACACCTTAGAAGCTTAGATACCTTTTGCGATTACAAATTAAATATTGCTTTAAGATGATTGAAACTTTTACCTTCTATACTTTAGTCTATGCTTTACCGTACTATATTAATAAAATTGTTACGTTTATTTATTTTTTACGAAAAAAAATAAAAGATCTGAGACGAGAGGAAAAACAACACCACAAAAATAAGTATACACCTTTATCAATTTCCTTTTAACATACAAATTAATATTTTGTTGCATAACCTTTTGCTTAAATTACAGCTTGTAATCTTCTGGGCATAGATTCTACCAGTGTTTTAGTGGTTTCAACAGAAAATTTGGCCCACAGATCCACCCCCGAACTTGACTGTCTTAATGGTGTTTTTAGTGCTTTCCTAGCTTCTCTCCATATTTTAAATCGTCCATCGCTTCCGTAAAGATTAAACTTATTTTTTCATCAGAAAATATTACGGTGTTCCAGAAAGAAATAGGCTTTAAACGATGTTCTTTGGTGAAAATCACTCTCTTTTGTCTATTCACATACTTGATGAGTGGCTTTCGTATTGGTGAACGGCCATGAAACCCATATTGGTGAAGGGTACGTCGAATTGTTTCATGTGAGATCTTTTCCCCGATTGTAGAGGACATCGATAAAGCCAGTTTAGAGGCACTCACCCTCCGATCTTTCTTTATTCCTCTTCGCTGTAGTACTCAGTATTTCTTTACGTCCTCTTCCAGGAATATTGGCCACAGATCCAGTTTTTTTATACTTCTGTAGAATTTTTTGGACACAACCATGAGTTACACTAATCAACAAAGCGATTTCTCGAAGAGATTTACTCTCTTTCGACCATTTTACAACCAATAAACGTTCAGATTCAGTAATTTCTCTCCGAGAGTTCATTTTACGATTTTTAATGAAAAAAAATACTATTTAAAAGCGTTGAAGTGCAATAGCACGTGTTATAAGCAGCAGCTACTCATGAAGCTCTTTAAAGAAAATTTTAAATTAAAGAGAAAGTGGTGGCAAAATTTACAAATATAAGAAGTGTATACTCAATTTTGTGGCATGGTTTTCTATCTTTTCTTCGAAGCGCTTAACTTTTTTCGTAATAAATAAGTTAACTATAGAATTGTATTATTATAGGATGATAAAGCAGAGGTTAAAGTATCTAAAAGATAAAAAAATTATCTATTTTAAATCAATATTTAATTTGTAATTGGAAGAAGTCTAAAAGTCTTAGAGGTGTATACTCAATTTTGTGGCTTACTGTATATTGTTACTTGTAAATTTATAAAACACGTTTAATAAAAGTTTTTAGTAATAATATGTATTGTAAATGCCCAATCAGAGCGTAGTAATAATTTTTTATAATAATAAATAGCCCCCCACATTATCTTATTCTGATTACCTATAAACATTCAGTTAATGTAGTTCAGTGTTTCTCAAAGTGTGGTACGCGTACCCCCAGTGGCTTAATGATCACCCCCGCATTGCGGGCGGTCAAGACTCTAAGGGGCCCAAAGCCTGACAGATGTCAAGTGCGAATTAAACATTAAAGGCAAAACCTGACTTTGCAGGGGGATCCTAAGATTCACTGTTACGCCAATACATACCCCCACCAGGGGTACAGGAAGAGTTTGCTTGAGTACGCATTTCACCGGAATTTGTCTGCACCGTGCTTAGCTGCGCCTAATTCTACATTCTCTTGAGTCGCATGGAACCGCATTTCAGACTAAAATTGATAACCAGGGAGCCCAATTATGATGACATATCAACACAGCACAAACAATTTCACCCTTTTCATTAATCCAAATAAATGTTACTTATAATATAAATTTTATTTATATTGTATTATAAATAATTTTATTTCTAGTTTTCTTATTATTTTGTGTATGTCACACAAAAAATATATATTTTGATTGTTATTAAAATACATTCCTTTTTTTATAAGGGGTACACATACGTCAAAAGTTGAGGAAACTGAAATAGATGATTGTGTGTGTAGAGGTTCGTGTTTACACATTTCTTTTTATAAGGAAATGGAAAGTTGTACTCCGAGGCATTTCCGTCTTAACTTCAAAAAACGATAGTTGTTTGGGATTCTATGGTTAATCACTTATGTTAAGTTTGCTACATAGCCTGGAGGTCAACATTTCGCTTTTTTCTTCTAAAGCAGGTTTTTTAAATCTCGGCTATTACGCATTTCCTCTCTTCAGCAGCATCTCTATTTTTTTCATTTATCTCAAATAATAATTTTAGTTTTATAATTTCAAAGCGTATAAAATAAAATATTCTCAAATCCCTAATAAATGAATTAGTTAATATAATTGATTTCTTTGGAGAGGAAAAAGTTGCTTTTTTTTCTCAGTTCTTACCATTAGTTAACACCAGTTGCGTAGTTACTGCCGTATCAGCCATATCAATGATACGGGGCCCCCGAGCTATAAGGGCCCCAATATAAAAGTCGCTACAGTCCCACTAACAGGGTTTTCACATCAATAGAAGGGCCCCGAAGGAATTATGATTCAGGGCCTACTCAGAACTAGCTACACCAGTGGTTCACACTTTCCCCCTATATATGTCTTGTTCAAACTTTCAATCGTCTATAAAATACTTTTTATTCATCCACTAAAATTTAATCCATATTTTTTATTCATCCAATCCAAGTTCAAATGCATTTTTTTAAACTTATAATGGATAAAACTTGATGTTAATACAGTTTTTTCAAATATTTATTTATTAATTAAATTTTATTTTTTCATTTTAAATTTATTCTGCATTATTTCTGATGAACTTAGTTTTATCTGCAACAGATGGCGCCCGCAAGTTTTTGTAAGGAAGTAGGTACAGACTTTAAAAAATATGCGTATTATTTATTCATTTACAGGCAATAATAAAACTCTAGTTGGGTATTTTTTATAACATTTCGCAAAATATACGTGGAATGGTTACAGAGTTCCTGTTTCCCGTAGGGAAACTTCACCTCCTATCCATGAAGCTTTGGATGAGCATTATATCGGCTTTACCTTAGCCCAGAACTGCATTAAAGTATTAAAAATTTAAAAAAAAAGTTAAGAATTAAGATTAAATTTAAATTTAAAGTGCTTTGAAATAAAAAAAGAAAGGAATACTTTAAGTAGGAGAAAATGCTTTAAGTTTGAATTCGCAAAATATATGATTTAAAAAAAAAAGTGTGATATGTATTTCTGCACTAAAACTTCAAATTGAATGACGTTATTAATTGCTGTTCTGTCAATAAATTCATATTACTGGAGAATGTGTTTAGAATAAGTTATATCAAAACTATTCCATTGAAAAACATTCTTAATCAACTGGAATCAGAGTACCCCTTAGTGAAATATTTCCAACATTTTTGTTTTAAAAATTAAAACTAAAAAAAAAATGTCTATAACTAAACTATATGTTAAAAAATAAATATACAGATATTCATTTCGCCATGAGATTCATATCCCGTAAGATTCGGGCATATTGCCACTATTTCTATTTGTATTTTTAAGTAGTGTGACTGTGCTTTTTCTAATTTTTTAAATCACTAATTAATTATGTCTAAAAACAAAATGAACATTTTTTTTAAAATCTTATATTTACATCTTATTAAAATATTGCGTACTTTTGCACCTTTAGCAGAGAAGTTGCTGGTTTGGGATATTTCTTTACTAAATAACTCTTACAAAATGTTTGGTAAGGTTAAAGTTTATTTTTGTACCCTGAGTCTTCTAGTGATAGTGGTAGACAGACAAATCAATTATTTCCATTCCGTGGAACAATCCTTTGTAACTAGAGAAAATTTCTCAGAAAATAAAAGGAAACTG